TTGCTTTATTCTTTGTAACTGTCTCACTGAGCATATGACTTGATGATTCTCAACCTGTAATCGATAGTCGCGGGCTTTGCTTCGGAGAAACGCCACGCTTTCTGAAGGCGTGCAAATTTGAGATGATCTCAAAAGGAGGTCATCCAACACTTCAGGCATTTCTGAAGAGTTTACTGCATGTTGAAGTAGTATATACATGATTGACGACAGAAATGAGGTTCACTTCTCCAAAACCTGGGAAAGGGTGGTTATTTGCATTCCGATAAATTTGATTTCGTTTCCGATAGTTTTTTTAAAGTTTGTTCCCGGTAGTTTTTTTGTTGTCGTATATGTCTGAAGCCATTGCTCAGCCAAGATTCATACAAGGTCGTCGTAATCTAGTCCAATGAACAAAGGCTCCCTCTTGCAGAATTCATTACGACTCCAGATAGGAGCCATTAAGGATATGTGACAAGACAGTCGTAATATGCCGTGGGTGGGCTAGACGGGCGGCGCAACATCATGTGAGTTGACGTTGGCAATATTGGAATACTATGTAAGACAGTATCCGCGCTCGAGAGGCCTTCAAATGACTTCGCGCTTCTGGAACCCTCTGCGCCTTGATGAAGATGATCCCGCTTTTATCCATCAATGGCGCGCGATGAGGAAGTTATCGCAATTTCGACAAGGCTCGCTAGGCTCACGGAGACGGTAGGTGGACGAGGCGTCTGGTCCCGAACTGCATCCGTCCCTTTAAAGCCCGCGCGGCGGTCTCGTGCGCGCCCTTCGGGACTTAGCCAAAGGTGGCTTTATAGCCTGTTAAGCTTGGCTGGAAGTTCTTAAATTTAATTAAATTAAAATTAAATTAAATTTAAATTCTTAGCAAAGCATACATAGGATAAGAGAGAGGCAAGAAACTAAAGAAGGCAGTGAGGGAGGATTGAAGAAAAAGCACGGGGAGATGAGTATCACGTACGAAAGTCTGTTTCTCCCGCTTGTTGCTTAGAGCATCCGCATCGCGCGTAGCAGGAGAAAATATAACAGAACACAGAATACTGAGAAGAAGCTCCTCTGTTCTCCCCAGCTCCTCTGACAGAAAAAACCCTGTAATTATGAGTGGAACACGTTTTATCGAGACATCGATGCCCGGAATTTCTCGACACACGCAAGTGATGGATTAAACGGGAGCTCTCCTCTCCGACAACCGTCGATTCAGGGGCGTAGCTGTTTCCGCAGTTTCCTATTTCCTATTCGAATTCGAAAATTATCCTATTTCGAAAGTCGGGACGCAATTGCGGCCGCCGCACCGATCCCGGCAGCCACAGCCGGCGCACTCGTCCAGGCCCCGCCCCCACTGCTAAAGGGAGGTCCGTGTTCCGGGTGTTCGCGAGGTTTTTTTCCACTGGGGGTTACAAATGGGCCACTGCTTCGTTACTGGGCACCAATTACCCGAACACTTTATCGCGGTAACTGTCTTTAAAGAGACGAGCCAATTCGATATTGACCGTGCAGCCTTCACTCGATTTCTTTCGATCACTTGATTTTTAGTTACCGAGTCTTGCTGTTACAACCAGCTGAGCAATGTACATCAAGAACATGCTACGCACAACCGCACAACATGTTGCACGCGATGACGCGACCGCGTTCCATTTCATATCTCCTCACACTTTCTCTCCTTTGCAAAGGTGATGACTGCAGTAGATTGCGACTATACATTCTTGGCATTCCAGAACATGCTTGGCATTCCAGAAATGCACAGGAAGAATGATCGTCACTTCTGTGAAAATTTAGAAACAGTTCCTTCTGCAGATGCGGGGATTACCAGTACCTCCAGTCCCTTCTGCAACAGTTTCGTGTTCCGGTCATCACAATTAGTGGAAAAAAAACTGGCTAGCTTCCCGTCAAACAAGCCTCCTTGGAATGCTCCAGCGTCCCCAGCGAACAAGGCTGTTTACCTGCAGCATTCCATGCACCGTTCGGAACAGCACTCCATGTGCTGAAAGGTCGTCCCATATATTCGTATAACGTACATCATGACTCTATGAAACGATCCCTGGAATTATCCTTAACCTCACATCGTGGCCAAGACTGTTCCAGACATTAATCTGTTACTACTAACGTTAATGAAGGGCCATCATTGGTGAGTCATTCCTCGATAATTACAGCGTATCTCCTACCATATAGCGGTCGAATGAGTTTCGTTGAGAGAACCATCAACTTTGTTGCTATTACACTCTCTAATTCTATTCACAGTGTCGAAAGAGCGTACAAGGTAAATTCACTATACAGAGAATATGTGTTGAATCGTGCAGGCCAACAAAGGCGAATCATTTTTTCCTCATCCCGTGATGCTCCCCGAAGGGAATGGTGAACAACAAGAGAGGGTGGGTAGAAAGGATGAAAGGTGATGTGGATCAAAGGCAAGTGGCACGACAAAACGGCAAGGTCGTTTGGGTACGTATGCTCAGCTCGGAAGAATATTGTTCACTTCAGCAGACGCTGCGTGGTACTCCTTCACCCAAGGGGCGCCTTTATAGTGTCTAACCATGATGCAACACGTCGACCCAAGCGCCCACCGCAACCGCTCTCCCACAAATGGGCGAATAGCCACATCGATGTTAATACTCATCGCTTCATTGCTTAAGTACAACTGGACAAGTTGACTACGGTTTCGCGTGCATGTATGCTCCCCAAATGCCGCCGTTCATGGGGGTAGATCGCGTGCTGCCAACGAGAGACTCGTAAAACCTGCCTTTTGCTCAATTGTGATCCTCCTTTACTGCGCCGACACCCCACCGCTCCTTGGACCCCTCGACCCTTTCCCTTCCTTTTTTCCATCCTTTCCCTCCTCTACCGCATCCCTGCTCTCCATACTTGGCCTGCGTTCCATCCACATTATCGTTTCTTTCCTTCTCCTATTGCACGGCCTTGCACGTCCACACGAACAGTCCCCCGTAGTTGCCTTGTAGTGCGAATTTTGTTCGGTCCGTTACAGCACGTATTCCCCGGCGGTGTGGGTTCTCGCCACCATTTGGAAGCCGACCGATGAATCTACAAGAGCAAAGCAACTACTTACTGTCAAATTCGGATGAGTTTCTTGAAGTCGCTCGCCCGACATCTCTTAAAGTTGTTCACATTGGTGGAGTTGCATCCCTGCAAGGAGCGCCTCCTTTATCGGAGGTAAAATTGTCATCGAAATTTTTACTAATACAGGTGCACAGGAGAAATTCTCAAATTCTCCCTGTCCTTCCAGAAATTGCAGCAAATTGTGGAGAAGGCCAAAATGGGTGTGGTGTACATCTCATTTGGTTCAGTCGTGTCGACTAAGAAGGTGAAACTGTTGTTTCTCGAAGAACTGAACGTTGCAAGAACCCCGCTGATTTCAATTTATTTCAGATGCCTAAGAACTTTCGTGAAGGTATAATCGAAGTAGCAAAAATGTTTAAAAATCATGACTTCATATGGAAGGTTGATGAAGGCGATGTGATTCAAGGTGTTCCGAATTTGCACACCTTTAGCTGGGTTGCTCAAGCAGCCCTTATAGGTGAGGATCTAGCATTTGATGAGATTGATATGGAACTGTGGGTGAGGCGACCTGCACAAGACTTTGACTGTTACATGACAGGACAACAACACGGCTGTTCGCTGTCATCTATCGCACTGCTAATGGGCCCTGCAGGCTGTAATTACCATCCATGTGCCGCGCCGGAAAATTCGTTCATATCGCTTATTTTGATATACGTCCTTGATTAGTCTCGCTAAACAACAAATTACGAAAAATTCATTATCACTCTCACAGTAAATTTTCCTCATAAGTAGCAGAATAGCAGTCAACTCATCAATACGTAGTTCAGCGTCTATGATGGCTTTCTTTCGATGTAGTATTGCATGTGAGTCAAGGTGGTGAGCGACCTGGACGAGTTGTCCGGTGTAGGTGAAGGGCCGCAGAGGCGGGCGAGAGGTGGCAATAGTTCAGTGGCGCCCCAGTGACGGCATAACTGTTGACAGCTGCGATATTCAATATTTTTCCGACTAGCCACCCCCAGCAACAGTGAACGGTCTGGGTGAGAGTTTTGATTCGCTTTCGCGACGGTAGGCGTTGCAAGTGGAGTAGCGTTCGCAGTGTCCATACCATGACCCAACCTACTCGACACGGCAGCGGCACAGCATTTCGAATCTATCTCCCAGGTCAATTCGTACTAGGGTGCTGCGACAGGGAAGTAATACTCCGCACCCAGTAGTCCGCAGCCTCATACAACATGTTACCCCAACTCTTTCTTTCTAGAGGAGCTAGAAGAGCTGAGCAGGAGAGCGCACAAGATAGGAACGTTAGCCTTTTCTTGCATTAGAACATCTTTTTCCAACTTATCAAACTAGATCTTCCGATTCTGAACTCTCGCAGCTATCAATGTCTTTCAGCCCACCCTAGTCTGCGATGTTTTGTTTCACATGCTGGCATCAACAGTATCTTGGAGTTGACAAGAATAGGAAAGCCGTCAATACTGGTTCCGCTTTTCGGCGACCAACTCAGGTCTGAAGTGTTACCTGAAAGTTGGCTTTGGAAAATAGACGCTACACTATCGCAATACTGTCTGGTGCTTGCTCCAATTGCTTTTAGAAATGCGTATCTCGTGGCAGCGAAAAACACGACCATTGTGATCGCGAAGGAGGAATTTAATCGTGATACTTTGGCCACTGCTCTTCAACGAGTGCTCAGCGATAAAGGGTAAGGATTTGCGAGTGAACTACGAGTTATTAGGTTGGTAAGAAGTAAAGCGGAATTTGAAGCGCCCAACTTCAAGCCAAAAATTAAAATTTCACCACATAAATCAGTTCAATGGAAGCCATAAGCACTTCACATCGCTTCAGCGCTGAATGGATTTCCTTTCCTTTTGTTTTCCAATCTGCTCTCTCAGCTTTCGCGTCCTCAATTAGGTGCAGCATTATAGCCCAAGTTTATTATCTGATCTACAGTCATTATCTTCATATATGAGAGGGCAAGTGAAGTGGCGTCGATTGGAGCACAGTTAGGTCAGCTTTTTCCACCATGTGTGGCGGGCGCCGTATGGTATTATCGGTGGGAAGCCACTCGGCTGCATTTCGTGGCTAATGCCGTTTAGACTCCAGAAATTTCGGCTCCGAGCTCGTTTTCAAATTGACTAGCCACCAAATCCACTGGAAACTTGTATATAGGGGTCAATTCAACATCAGTATGACACTCATTCTTGGCGCTGGCGCCAAGAGAGGACACTACGATTACCTCCTGGGCTCAGCCTTAGCAGAGCGCAGGTAACCGTAGTGTCATCCATTAGCGCCAGCGCCAAAAATGAATGTCATATTCGTGATCAGGATGTTGAATTACCCCTATATACAAGTTTTTAGCGGATTTGGTGATCTTGCCACTTTTAAAATGAGCTCGGAGCCTCTGGAGTCCAAACGGCATTAGCCGTCCACGTCTCTTTACACGGATTTTTGCAGACATAAAACTATCTTCTCACCAACTTTGTAGAACTGTGAAAACCCCACTGCAGTTGTAAACTATTATATCGCGCTTAGGGGGAGTGAGATGGGGTCGTTCCAGAAGGGAGTTGAGGTGGGAAGAGAGCAGTGGAAGAAATCCTGATGGGAGTCGTATTTTGCAAAAATTTTCCCTAGCGGTATGATGTCTTCTGTTACTCACAGTCTCCTCACCTCTCTGGTCCTTTCAGATTCGCACTGAGAGCAGAGCGCTTAGCGTCACTGATGGTGAACAAACCATTTTCTGCCAGGGATCGACTGCTGTCAAGTGTCGAGTTTTCCATTCGACATGGCCGAATTCACGATCTCGATATCGGAAGGCATTTAAATACGATACAGTACTACAGTGTTGATGTTGTGGCATTTTTGACCATTTTGCTAGTTTTTGTTATAATTTTATGGTTGTACACCTGTAGGTACTTTTGCCGGAAAGTTTTTCGGAGAAAAGTAAAGAGTGATTAGTACCTTCTCCCATATCGTGACCTGAAAATCTTTCTTGCATAGATTGTCATGTTGAGTATCGATTTCTATTCCTTTTGTAAATATGAGTACTCCCTTTTCACTGTACTTATTGAAAAAGCTTTTGGTGTCACAAGGAACATCCCACGTTCAGTAACATGCGTGTTTCTCACTGCCTTAGCATCTGATACAAATTCTTTGCCCTTTTCAGTATTCAATGAAGACCAGGCCGGTAACGTTGCGTTCATACTTGGTGGCAGCGTCCTCCAGCGTTCCGAACGTCCGGCAGCGACAGCGATTAGGAAAGTGCGGATATCGATCCAGCGTCTGCCCAGCTACCAGCGTCTGTCAGCGTGTGCCAGCATCAGCGACCAGCAGCAGACTGCTGGTAAAGAGTATGGGGAGATAGGTGTCTACACCGGTGTCTGCTACCCTCCTACCGCGCCGTACTCTCTACCAGTAGTCTCCTACCCTCCCGTCTCCCCATAATCTACCAGTAGTCTGCTACCCTCCTATCGCCCCATACTCTCCACTCTATCGCTGACATTATACCATTCCACCAATGTGGATGACGAACGAAATTCAACTGCGACGATCATAGTGCCCTATCGGCCATTTCAGGAAAGGGTTTTTGACCATTTCGTCGCATTTGGCCATTCGACCCGGGAGAGGGAATGGAAGAAACTGGAGAATATGGTAAGTGGTAAAGTGGTACGTACAGAACGCGTCCTCGAGAGATTCTACAAAATTGATCTCCCCTCAAAAAATCTTCCTCTAGTAGGACTCCATCCCTTCATTCCCCACCGCCCTCGGGTGGAGAAGGGACGGGCTACAGCGCATGTGAAACGGGAGAAGCCGAGAAAAGTTAACAACCGAACACGTTTCGCTTGCAGGCCAATAAAACTCCTTGCAGCAACTAATCACGCTCCCGTTCGCTGGGGATACCCACTTGTTTGCTGCGGATGCTAGGGCAGAAGAAGAGAAGGAACGGCTGGGTTTGGCACGAGCACGTTGTCCATCACTCGCCAACGAATGTCAGCTTCTACAGTTGTAGAAAAGCGAGCTGCCGCAGACCCAACCTCCCTGTCACGCCTCCGCATTCCACCCAGCAAGACTGTGCGACTTGGTAATTCTGCTTATTGTTAGATCTCCAGCGCTTTGGCAGTTTGGCTACCCTTGCTCCTTTTCCTACCGTCTGCTTATCTTCAGGTTCCAGTCCTTCTGCCATTCACTGAAAATGATTATTCTGAGGCAGAGAATTAACACTTCTATCCAATGTACGAATTCATATTAGTTTTGGTTTTTTTTTCTATTTCCCCATACAGACATTCTGGAAACATTTCAGCAACGGAATTTTTTTTCCAAAGTTTCATAGGTAACCTAATCATTTCGTGACACAGTTTCTTCTTGCTTCTTGTTACACTGAACGTTTCAAATGACAACCCATTCGACACACAATTGTTCTTTAAACTCACTGTCTAACGAATAACTCCCAATTAAGAATTCAAAGTAGTGGCCTGTAGGTGTCACAGTGAAAATGAAGCCATCTCTACTGTATCTTCTGCTCAGCTTTTATCCAGTTCATAATTATAAAATTCTCATCTACTCTGCACCTTTGGGCTACTCGCACACGATTTTCATGGGACGTGTCGCTGATATTCTTCACGAAGGCGGACATGACGTGGTGAGGAAACAAATTGACCCATTCGTTTTCATTTTACGTCCAGTAATCCTCTTTTCCCTCAAGTGAGCCCCGAGTGAGGGCTCCCCTTTCGCTCCTGTCCCGTTAAAAGGCACGTTGGAAACAGAAGCTGAGTTACATCTTTGCTCTCGACTCTCTCGTTGGGCGCGGTTCGGCATGGGGGGGGAGTGCACTTAGCACTTTCGCTGCTTTACTAGTTCTGGTTTACAGGCCTCACTCTGATGAGACCTAACACTTGTGTTTCTTGAGCAGTCGTCTAGCCATCATGGTAGAACCTGCCAATTCTTGTAAGTCAACGGAAAAGCTCTATATATGGGTTGACACGTCGATGGGAAGTAGCAAAAGTGCAAAATGCTCCACGTCGCCGAACTCTCCTCCCCCTCAATATTTTTCATTTCTTCGTCCAATGACTATTCTTATGGTTAGCCGCAATCAAAGTAGTAATGGAAGCAACCCTTTCACACGCTCCTTTTTTTTACTCAGAATCACGCTGATTTGTTGATGCGATGGACTTTTACAGTGAGTTGCGAGGATTGGCCGATATAGAATTCAGTGTTCTTGTCATCCCAGTCGGATCTGGCGCCGATATACCGTCCCCAGACGGTAGAAATCCTGTTGGCCTGAGCGTGAGTCGATCCGGAATTCGACCTCCGGTGCGCGTGATAGATTTGCCGCATGCCACTATGATTTTGAGTAGCTGGATTGGTATCTTTTCGACTTGCAGGAAATGCGGAGATGCATCCAAGGGTTATCGTGTTCCTGCATAAAATTCACTGTGAGTATTAGCACGCTCCTTCTACCTATCGTATTCATCCTGAACGATTACGTGGTAGGAAGAAGGAGTCAAATTTTCATCGCGCTACCATGTAGACAGGATGTGCATAAGGGTATCAGCCAGACTACGCAGAAAATAGTTGTGATCAGAAAGAGCTTCACAACTTTTGAAACGCATTTTCATCTTAATTATGTGAATCCATAGATTTCCAGACTGTTCTTCACCACATGTGGCAGCAACAGTCCACACAGGTTATCCCTGCATTGGCAAAGAAGGTGCGCGGTGTTTTGTGTGAATAGTTGAGAAAAGAGAGGAATTAGATTCAGCTATGACACCCTCTCATTATATATACACTCATGTATTATAAATAGCTATGCGGCGCTGTGTGCCTCGGGAGGGGCTACTGCGATTCAGCACCAACGCCTAGCGGCCTGTGTGAGCCTGTATTTCAAGGGGGGGGGGGGAGATGCTCTATGATGACAGAACCACTTCTGTCGTGAATTGCGTGCGAACTTATATGCTTCTTTGATATGCGCCGGGAGGAAACCATCTTCCAAGGTAACTGCTGTAAACATCGATTTGATAGAGGTTTATAGCGAAGTTGTAAGTTAACTAGCTGCTTCTCTGGTAGCCCACGCTCTCGCCATTTAATCCAGCCCTTGTCTTATCATCTCGGTAAGCTTCTGCTTCCATTGCTTCGTCTCATTCATGGTTCGGTGGAGCAGTCCCACGTCACATCTTCTAGTCCAGGGAGTGAACGCTGCTTGTCAATCATTCCTTCTTTTTGTTAGCCTATTTCCATGTCATTGCATCAGTTCACTTGTATTATATCATTATTTCGTATCACAATGATTGCATAGTTTCACCATTAATATTATTTAGTGTCCCTGCTCTGTAATGCAACGATAAGCACGCATTAATGGGTATACTTAATTATTTATGTGCCTGCATAGTACAATCGTAGCATAACATACTCCTATCATAGCGTAGATAATGTGCCCTAATCCTAATGTGCCCGTGGGGGCCAACAGATATCTTCCTGCGTACAGCGTCCCACTATGCGCGGCACGTTCCTTAAAAGGGCGTGGGCCACAGTAACACCCATGTTCTACATGGTCCGGGCAGGGCGCTGCCGATGCACTCCTCCCCCAGCCTAGTCACGACAGCTTCGGACATTTCAGTTTTCCACATGACAAGTAGTTCGCGCACTCGTGAGCCGTCCTCCCACCAAAAATTAGAGGCTAATGCTACTGCTACAAAATTGCACACTGGCCTCTCCCATCCGCTTTTCCTGACATATCTGAGTTCTGAATGTGTTTTGTTCAGATCCTGTTTTCCCTTCCGGAAGGACTTATAAAGGATGTTGATCCATGGAACTTACGTCTTTGGAACGTAAGCGCCAGATCTGTTTTCGATCAAGTGCAAATGTTAACCGCTCACAACGAGCTACAACTTCGCAGTTGCGACTGTAAGCTTTTTATAGAAATTCTATAGCCAAATAACTGTGTTAGGTTCATGCATCAACTTTGGAGCAGCTCACAAACGCGGTCTCACTAAGAGATTCAAGAAGGAGTATTTACAGTGCTTCTTGGGGACAATGACACGTTGCAAATGCTTGCAAATGAAAAATTCGACGCGGGAATCACTGAAATGCTCGGTGCATGCGGTTTCGCTATTTTTTATGTGAGTCGCTCTTTTTGTAAATACTTCTTCACCGAACTTCTTTTTGCCAGTTTCCCTTGTTCTATCAGGCGGCAGAGGTTGGTAGTGTTTTTGTAGTGCGGGCACGTCGTATAAGCATTAGGGATCTGGGGGGGGGGGAGGGCAGTATTCGGCCACTATGAGGAGGGGATCGTCCACATACTGATTTCTTGTTCGCTGCTCCAAAACTCTGTTATCCAATCTCTCAGGTGTGTTTCGACCACCCAGCTTTGCAGTTTGTTTATGTATTTAATACCAGTATTGGAAATGTCCTTTGCAACTCGAATTTTTTTTGAGGACAATCGGTTCCAGAATATACCGTCCCTTATTGTGTTGAGCGATTTGACACGTCGTGGGCTTATGGCCCAAATCCCTGAAAGCAGGAGGCGCGGCTGCGTATTTTCTTCTAACATGGCGGAGGATGGGTTATTTGTGTGGATACTTCCATTTGAGACACTCGTCTTGTCTTCCATTGAACAAAGACATTATGACAGTCGTCTTAAAATGAAATATTCCACCGGAAGCGCTGGTGCCGCCTAAAAATGAAGCACATAACTATGCCCACCGCAACTAAAGGATCTTGAGTATATTGGCGTGACGTCAGGGTGGATCGATTGTAGTGGTATTATACACAACCTTGTTCAGAAAGCCGGCATCAACCACATGATTGCTGCGTCAGCTATGGGTGTGGTGGACTCGATTGGCGAATACTATGATCTGCCTAAATTCCCCAGCATTGCACCATGTTAGTCCATTCTGTCATACCATCACATGTATGTCAAATGCTTTGTATGTTTGTTAGTGGAGCTATCTGGTTCTACTAAACTTCAAAATTGATATTGCAAAGATGGTACCTACTCCAATAAACAAAGAAAATGAAACACTGAAATAGGGCTTATTCAAAGCAATGCGAACATATCACACATCAGGCAAGAAACCTCAACCGGTTTCGAAAACAGACTGTACGCTCACCTCCGAAAAAGGTCTTTGCCATGTTTGAGGCGAGCAGATCCGCAGCTGCTGTAGCTTGCCATTATATCGCCAAGAAGTGCACGGTGACGGACTGAGGGATGATGGAACTCGTGCACCGTTTCCATACTCCACCCGCGCTGTCCTCAAGGTGCAGTACTTGTGTCTGCACTAGAAGTTTCTCTGAAGAATACGCACTCAACGGTAGAGAGCAACCAGAAGTTAGAAGAGCGTAGATAACTAACGCGTTTGGCCATGGTTAGACATGCGGCCGGTAGTGCGGCAGCGTGAGCGTAGTATGAGGACGGCACCCAGGTACTGCTTCCAGCCCCATTCCCGTGCTTTTTCTGACTGGAGAAAGACGCATGCTGCTGCAGCTGTGGACCCATTCACCTCACATATCAAGGGTCAGGATCCACGAAGGTGGATGCACAGTACATCTCTAACATACGTCCACATACTAGCAAACTGAAAGAGTCGCCCTACCTGCTACAGTTATACCTAGGCTGCTTCAAGTCCACGCTATAATGTTCTCATGATCACATGCATGCCGGGTTAAGGGCACACGTCTTGACCAGACGGGACTCGAACTCACCTTTCCGGACAGGTGCAGTTGTCATCACGCCATTAGAGGCGCTCTGGCCCTCTCAGCTCAACGATTTTGTGCCGTGGCCCTACACCCACTTTTTAAAGTGGTAATCGTGTTCGAGCCCCACCTGGGGTCAAGACTCCATAAAATAGCTTTCTTGTGATAACTTTCCGAACGCGAACGGCGGCATTAATTAGCTCTTATCACGCTGAAACCAATTTATTTGATCATTTCAGCATTTCTTCTGCCGTATAGCGATCGAATGAGTTTCCTAGAAAGAACAATCAACTTCATCACTATTGCTTTTGCTGATTTGGTCTCATCAGAGATTGCAAGGAAGTACAAGGTGAGTTCGTTAGATCGCGTACCTTCGGAATCACTTGGCTTCCCATGTTTCGACCACTTCCACGTTGTGCGAATATCGTTGATATTGTCGCAGTCAGTGAGACGGTATCAGGAAGTGCGGGATTAGCGTGAATACAGCTGAATTTTCACAAAACTGGGATTCTTGGACTGGCCACAGCTATTTCCGTCTCGACGCAAAATTCTTGATTCCAGAGTTTGGCAGTGACAGCACAATCAAGCTATTCTGGCCAGGTGAGGTGGACATAATGAAAAGAGAGCGAGTGGTTCATACTCAGGGAGCTGCAGAACAATCGGAAATGAAGCCATTGATGCTCACGTTTCGGGTACCGCAATGGCTATTCTCCGCGTTTTGAAGAGAGATTTCATTTATCAATTGATCTGTGGCTGTACCCCAAATCTGGGTAGTGTTCTGAAGTCCATGACAAACAATTACTCCATCAAGCATTAGGCAGAATTGAGATGTGAATATAAGGATCCTCCTCTACAGGCAAACACCGGCGATCGATGTGGTTCTTTTTTTAGAGTGTCAGCACAGGGTGTCCTAAGAAGTGAAGCCTGACGAAAAGAAAAAGGTGTCGATCAACAGTAAATACGATTTCGCCTCGCAATCTTGAAATCTTCAATAAAGATAACAATTTTCGATAACTGGGGACTTATCATAGCTTCTCACGATCATTCACGCTCATCACCTTGCGAAATGTTATGCTACTGTCAAACTGTTTTGCAAGCACTTCTTTGAATATTCTCAAAAGCTGCGTCTCCGCAGAAGTACATACAGTTATGATCCACGCAAACAATAGGTGGGTTTGACGGAGCATGGGTTGTAGCGCAGCCTATGCGGCCTTTCTTCACATGAATTATATCATGCTGAGTTCGCAACAATTGGCGAGAAATGCTGCCTTGACTACACTCTAATCCAAGCCCTCCTAACGCGTCCTATCGTTTGCGGTGATCATGGCTGCATCAAAGCCACAATTTCACGTAATCAGGAGCTGTGGAGACATCATGGTGTTGTCACCGACGATGAATATTACAAGAGCAGAACCACTTTCTTGCTATCAAATTCGGATGAGTTTCTGGACTACAGCCGCCCGACAACTCCAAAAATTGTTCACATTGGTGGTATCACTGCTCTAAAGATCACTCCACTATCAGAGGTAAGAAAAACTAAACATTCATCAAGATTGTGTTTTTGGATGGGGCACACCATCACACTGTGAAGAAATTCTCTAAAACGTGAACCCCTCGAATTCCTCCATGGTAAGACATTTTTCCCAGGGTAGTTAGACAGTTATCCGGACGTCGCGCTTAACAGTGCAGTGAAATGCGCGAAGAGATGACCCGTTTGACCTAGCTTCCCGCACAGTGAAGCAGCGGCTTACTCGCGGAAGAGGATATTATACAGTGCGACGTGTCGCTCCTGATGGCTGTGGGGATGTAAGTACGAAGAAAAGAATAGCAGCGGGGCAAGGTGAAGGGGGAAACAATCAGAAAACTTCTCCTCACGGAATCCCCCCCACTCGTCGTCTTTTACGCAGTGGATGGTGAGCCCTGCTCCAGCTTTTCCGAATTTTCAGCTTTTTTTTAATCTTTTCAGGACTTACAGCAAATCTTGGAGCGGAGCAGGATGGGTGCGGTGTACATTTCATTTGGTTCAGTAACATCAACTAAGCAGGTGAAATCGTTACGACAGGAGTCGGGAGAAGGGCGATTCCAACGAGGTCGCACCGCCTAAGTCATATGCGGCCAGTCTCGCGAAAATGTCAGAGTTGTACTAAGATGTCTACACACGTTCTCTTAAGAGTGAAAGATGTGCTCTTGTCCACAGTGTGTTGTTCGAAGAAGCGAGATGGATTCCTTCACTAATTTGAGCAAACCATGAAACGCACAACTTAGAAGCAAAGGCTGCAACGTCGCAGGCTGTGCCCACCAACGCGGGGACCACGATAGGATCGCCGCACGACCTTTGAATAGTGCAATGCGTTGCTTGACTACAACTTATTTCAGATGCCTAATTACTTTCGCGAAAGTATAATCGAAGTAGTGAGAATGTTCAGAAACTATGAATTCATTTGGAAAGTTGATGAAGGCGACATGATTCAAGGTGTTCAAAATTTGCACACGTTCAGTTGGGTTTCTCAAGCAGCACTCATAGGTGAGCGTACTACATTCGATGGAATTTATTTAGGCGGTCTCACTTAGATTGAATCTAGACGACCTGTTCACAATCCCTGCTTCATTGAAAGCAGACAGCCGTCCTTCATACCGTTCATTAACAAGCGCCCTGTCGAAACGTCCGCCGCCCCTGCTCTCAGCTGTGAAAGGCATCTTCTCTACTAATTGGGACGCCAAAAATGCTTAATGAAGCACTGGGACCAGGGCACATACTACCAATGGAAGAAAATTTTGCATTCCTTACCTTGAATTCCTTCTCCGGGAGGACCCTCTCTCCGCCCATCCCCTGTCTGTCACCTTCAAAAACTTTCCCCGATACCTCCACTCCTCGGAATTTTTCGTTCATTCTAGCCAAAAAATCATTGAGCGGGAAAGGGGCAAGAGGGTATCCAGCACACTTAAAACAAGAAAAAAAAACCAAGAACAACAAAAGAATGGGAAGAATCAGCAGCCTGAAAATTTCCTCAAATGCAAATGCTATCCTCACTCCAGCGACAGTATCGCACAACACCTTCAGTAGGAAGCTTTTCATTTGGCCCGTAGAGAACCGCTGGGATAACGGCTTAGTAGCGGAAAAGCTACCAAAACTACATTTTCAGAGGCGAAAAAAGTATTTGCGTGGACTTGTTGTGCGCAGAAAACATTGAAGCTTGGAAGGAAATGCATGGCGGCTGGACCAAGCTAGATCGAACGCTTCCGAGAGGGTTCAAAAGGCAATTTTTCGAAACAGCCGGCAGTAAGATAATTGATGGAAAAATGCTCGCTGAACTCTCATACAAGGAGACGTGTTGGCAACATCTCGGGAAATACTCAGATGTCGCTAATGCTAGAAGTTTGTATGAAAACGTAGTGATGATAATGCCATGCATGCTGTATGGGACGAGAATGACGGCAATCAGACGGGAGGTCAAATGAGGTAAAAAGCGCGGTGCCAATCAAGAGATCATCACGGCATGCGTGATCTCCGAATAGTCGATGGCGGTAGCGATCCTCGACGCCACCACCCTCATCATTTGGGTTTCCCCCGCTCATCGAGCGGTTGCCACCTACTTTGAATTTGTTTTTTTTCGTTAATACAAATGCTGACCTGACCAACTGAATATCCGCCCAGTGTACCAACGAAACGAAGATGGCTGACGAGATACAACACAGTTATTCTCTACACAACTTAGCTAAACAACTCCGTTCAGTGGATTGTTCAGCGGATTCAGAACGTAGATAGGAGATGAGATTATGCATCGCGTGCGCTGTGGTGAAGGCAAAAAACCAAATTTCCAGTTTCGTGGCTACTTCGCAGTGTTTTTAGCCCATCCTCGTTTGCGATGTTTCGTCTCACATGCTGGCTTGAACAGTGTTCTGGAGTTAGCAAGGAGTGGGAAGCCATCGATCATGGTTCCGATTTTTGGTGATCATCAAAGGTCTGAAAAAATCAGCCTTCTTCAGTCGGGTTCAAATCTGCTATGCTAATTATTGAACACTTCAGAGTTAGTGACGTACAAGTAGAAATAATTCAGCTGCGTGCTAACTGTTTTTAGAGTTGCACGTCTCGTGGAAGTGAAAAACACTACCATCGTGATCGCGAAAGAAGAGTTCAACCGTGACACTTTCGCAGCTGCTCTTCAGCAAGTGCTCAGTGATAAGAGGTGAGGACGGATGAAGGCATTAGGAGTCATAGTAAAACCATCTGGACCTGACTGCGCCTAATCACTCTTTTACTGTAGATGCTCCAGTAGTAGTATTTATGTTATTAGGTTGTCCGGAAAGTTCTCAGCGTTTTGTGTTACTATTTTTTGTACATTCATTGCTGATTAAAAACTCATTCTCCCTTGCGTCTCAGTAGTACATCCTGAAGAGAATTTTTTGCGCTATCTGATGGTATAATTGCCGTTTCACCATTGATAAACCCCCTTTTCCCAAGACTTTTTGAAGCATGTCAAAAGAGCAACTTCGGACGATATTTTTCTTCAACTACAAATTGGGTCAATCCGCAGTCGAGACAGCTCGACAAATTAACCAGGTGTGGGGGCCCAATAGTGTTGGAGAAAGCACCGTGCGACAATGGTTCGACAAATTTCGTTCTGGAGATTTCAGCCTTGAACCTCGCGGTCGACCTAAAGCAATACCTGACGAGGATTTGAAGGCGTTTGT